GCCGCCAAAGACAAAGCAGTCACCAGGTTGAGACATGTTGGACTGACCGCGCGTGAGGAGCTGGAAGCAAACACGACTTCACAGAGTTTGGGCGGGTATTTGATCGATGGCAACATTGGACAGGACCCCTATTCCTGAACGGCTTCATCGAGTGCGGCTGGCGTTCCGTTGGCTGACAAGGCGGCCTCGGGTTACTGGCAAAGCAATTCAAACGTTGTTAGGCCATGCCGTGCGCTTTATGATGCTGAAGCGAGAGTTGTTGAGTATTCCAAACCATCTATATGCATTTGTTCAACATGCAAAAGACGGCAAGCGCAGGCTCTGGGCCAGTGCGGCGGTGGAGGCCAAGTGGATTGGCCAACTGCTGCCACTCTGCTCAGCGGACCTGCGAAAACAGACGAGCACCCTTCTGACCGCCTGGGACGCTTCTTTGTCGGGCATAGCTGTTTGTGTTAGAGAGACTGAGAAGACCACTGTTGAACAGATTGGCAGTTTCAGGGTCGTATGTTTATTGAGGAGGCACCGTGGAGGTTTACCAGCATGTTGCCGGTATGGACTGCACCAAGTGGGACTATGGGATGTGGTGGCTGTGTGACACCTGGTTAGTTTTGTAGGGTGGAAAGTTTTTGGCATGGCCTGGAATGACGTTCGGAGCGGGTGCCGGCGGCTGCTCAATTGGGTGGGCTGCTGTTCCTGTGCTTGGCCGCCCACTACGTGTGGGCCGTGTGCTACCCGATCGTGACGGTCGTGATCGCGCTGCGCTGCTCATGGCGCTGCTGTGGGTGCTCCGCTGCTTCATGAGGACTGTGGGACAGTTCAAACCACCAACCACTGGGGAGCGATGGGTCGCTGTGAAGAAGGAGGGTTTGAAAGCTGTGTTTCGGGTCGGACCGGAAACCCAAACCATACGGCCCACGGCTTGTACGTGCAAGTTGACCCTGATGGAGTTCGGGGGGACCCGCGCTTGGTGGCAGAGCTTCGAGCCAACGACAAGGTGCACCTCTGCCGCCACTTGGCCTGTGGAGAGGATTGCAGCGTGCACATCCAGGAGCACGGGGTGGTCAAGGCCTTCAACCCTGAACGCTTCCAGTACGCCCAGGCTGACTCAGGAGCTCGTATAAGGCCACTCAGCAGCTGTGCAACTGGATGAAGGGCTCCGGAAAAGAGGTGCGAAGATGAGAAGTACCCGTGCCTGGCTCACCTAGTGGCTTGGGAATCCACCCATGGAACTGAGCAGTTAGTTTCTAGTCCATGTACAGGCCCTGGGAGCTTGCTCCATGAAGACAGACGGTTAGTTTGGGACCACGGTGGTCACTATCCTTCACGCTACGTTGGTTGGGGGAGGGCCTGGTTTTCCTACCACAATGATCGTGGGCTCCGTTGGAAGATGCAGGCCAATAGATACCTCGGCGCAAATCACAAAACGACTATGAACATCTATGCCCAGGAATACTAATTGATATGAATTGATATGACCTATAATTCGCTCAAATACCCTGACAAGAACTGGGGTGAATGAAGTTTATAAGCTGAAAAAGCTAAAAGATGCTATTTTGATGTTGTTATATGGTGCACATCAGTGCGTAAATGATACACACACACACACATTTGGAAGGAAGTGCAATCTGGGAACACATCTGATGACCAACGCATCGACGTTTGAGCTGGGCGGAATGTCAGAGCTCTGCAACCTCAGCGCATCTTCTGTTGTGAGAAACGGCGCAAAGTGCTTGCATGTCTGAGGTGTCTGCTTCGGCGCAAACCTTGCTGTGTGGGTTCTTCAATGGCAATTGTCCTCACTGCGTCCTGGAACAAAGCCACCTGCTCCGGTGTCCACACCGCAGCTGAACATAACAATTCACCGACCTCTGTGAGGCCGCTCCATGTCAGGCCACTTTCGGAAATGCTCCTACACAGCTGCTTCGCCTGGGCAGCCCTCGTCTCGTTGAACTTGGGCTTGCCCTGCTGGGAATGGAGGAACTTCTGAATCTCCTCTATGTTTTTCTTCAACCTCCTGATGCTGACAACCGACAACCATCAAATGTATCGTTTGTCTACATGAGATAAACATTCGCGTCAGGTCATGCGTCCACAATGGGATGTAGCCGTGAATATCGGCTATATATGGTTATACATATGTATCCGTTGTCAACATCAGATTTAATGACCATCAAGACAAAATAAGAACCACTCTCAAACAGGAAACACATTGTACCGTTTGCAACCCAAGAATCTCTGCTGTGGTGGCCATGCTCAGATTGAACGCACGCACATGGGCAGGGCAAACCAATCCACTACTGAGCCCGACCAATCGTGAGGCGATCACCCTGTGACCAGCCCCTGTTCACGACACACATAATGTGCGCGGGCGTGTCAACCAATTTACAACTTACAATTTGTGAAACATGTGCCAACAGAGGCCTTGGCTCGCACAGCAGTTGGAGCAATATTGATCGTTCCAAAGGGGTCTTGCAACTATAAACACATCAACAAACACAATGTTCAAACCTAAGTCAATGAGTTGCGCGTTTCAAACACGTGACCTATATACTTCGGCCACGCTATGCTCACGCGTCGTGCTTCTTCGACTGGTAGGTGAAATCAAGCTTCACAAAGATGCGCTAGCATTAGTGTTGTGTGTCACCAATGACAACGTCGAGGCAAGTCAGTCAACTGGCATCACCACAAGGCTCCCCTGCGTGCAGTTCTCCATGTACCAGCTTCGAGGACGACGAACAAACCTGTGGGCAGGGCGGCAGAGGATTTGTTCGGTGACATGAACGCGTGAACGCAGGCGGTACAACAGTTTCACAAACAAACACCTGTTCCATCACAGCGGATGAACTTGCAATCATATGTACCATGCATGGACACGCAAGCCTCACGTTTTCTGGGTCTCAGTCGATCAGCTGAGAAAAGCTGTACTGCAGTGCAGGGTTGCCAGGAGCACCTCCTTTTCGGCTGTCGACCAACTGAGAACAGCTGAGACTGCCGCGCATGGGGGCCTGGCCAGGAGCAACTCCTATCAGCTGTCAACCAACTAAAAAAAGGCAGGGTTGCCAGGAGTGACTCCTACAACCTCATGTGAAACGCCTGGGCTCTGTGAAACTGCTTCACCAAGCCAGTCACTGTCCCTGCGCATTTGAGTGGTTGTGACAAGGAGGTAGCCCATCATTATTGATGGCCACGATTATTGATATTCTAAGCGATTGTGTAACTTGATATGAGAGTGTGCACATTTGTATACTGGGTTTCTCACGTGGCTACATAAATGAGTGTGAGTCGTATATTATATGTGTGTGAGAGGGTTGAGGCTGAGGTTTGAGTGTTGACTTCATAAGGGCACTTCACCCTGGAAGGAGTCGTGAGAGAGATACCGACACATGTCCACCATGGCTGGCTGCATGCCTACCGCTTTTTTTTGCACGGCGTCCTTCAAAGCACGTGCCATGTCTTTCACAGCGGAAATAGTCTCCGGCCGCTCCTCATGCGTCAGCTCGCTTGCCGTGGCTATCTCAGAGCGGTGAAAAACGTAAATGCAATTGTGGAACACACAAAACACTCACATGGAGTGATGTGCTGCATGAATTGCATGCGCGCAAGCAAACATTGAGCTAAGGGACGTCATTCTCAATGCTGCGCAGCTCCTGCTGAGCTTCCTGTAAGAAAGCGCAAACAATTCAAGCCAATCAATCAACCACACTGCGCACTGAAACAAGACAACGTGATCTTCTAGGATCACGCGCGCCGAGAGACCTTCATCCGGACATTGATTCCACCACGTGTCCGTGCCCTCGCACGGTCCGATATCCCTGCGCGGTAGGCCGCAACGTGCTCTTCTAGGATCAGCTTTCCGTCTATCTCCGCCCAGCCATTGCCCAGCTCTTGCCCTCATGCCACAGCACTTTGCCCTCATGAGCCTCCCCCCTCTTGCTCCTCCTCGGCATCCTCCTCGGCCGCAAGAGAGTTGGGAGCCGTGTGGGCCCCGATTTCATGGGAAACGCATCAGCTGCCTCCTTGAGGCTGCGAAGAAAGCGGAGGTGGCCGTCGATTTCGTGGAAGGCCCCCGATTGGCAGCTTGGGGGCAAGGAGAACGGAGATGCCAAAAAAAAGGGCTGGCACTATGGCCTCATAGACTTTGTCACGTCAGAGTTTGTTCAGGGCCTTGCAAGGAGGCGCAGGGGGCTGGTGGTGCAGATTTGCGTTGGTGAAGGCAGAAGCCCCAGTTCCGGCCAGCGCCATTGTGTTGCAACTCCAGATTGGGGAGATACTACTAGGTGGGTCAAGCCGGCCCGCATGGAATTGCAAGGCGGACAGCCCCGGAGTCCAATGGTCCACAGGGCGTCGGGCACTACTGGCTTGATGATGGAGAACGGCGCGTGCTTCATGGTCTTGGTGGACCAGTGCGGTGGCCCGTGTTTTGTGAAGAGACTGGCACGCTGGAGACGGTGTATGTCTTCGACCGCAACGGCCCTCCCGATTTCATTCGAAAGCTGACGGACAAGGAGGTGTGGACCCTACAAGGCCGGTCTGGTGTCCCACGTGGCGAGGTCGACGGTGACTATGGCAAGTGGATCGTGGAGGGCGCCAAGGCCACTGGGGCCCACACCCCGCGACGAGCCTGTTGACGGTTGGGGGTTAAACCTTGCTACAAATAAAAAAGAGTGAGCTCCCACCACATAGGGGGGGCTACATCCATGTTCATCGTGGGCCCTGCAGGACACCCGGGCAGGTATGTGCCGTGATGCTCAAGGAGCTGAGGCGATGGCACAGATTCTACTGTGGTTGGGACGCTGGAAGCGCGGTGAGGCGCCGTTTGCCGATGATGAGGAGGATGAGAGCCTATGGGGTGGTTGCTATGCGGGGGGGAAGAACCCGCAAGAAGACTGGCCAAGTCGTGGCCGTACAAGGCCTCCTATGTCAGCCTAGGCCTTTCGATGGAAGGGTTGCCGCTCGAGTGGAAGAGTGGCTCAAAGAGAGACAAGGGAGCGAGCGTGCAGGTTTATGGGCAAAATGGAAGGCGTGGGCGCGGCAAGGGCTGCCGTCTGAGTACCTCAATCGCAAGGAGGACGTTGTGGACAATGAGAATAAGGTGTTGGGCTTCATCGGGTACCTGGGTTAGGGTTGGCTGGGTGCTTCAGGAGCCACGATCAAGCAGGCCATCTTCGCCATCAAGGACGGGCGCAAGAAAGCTGGTGGGGGAGACCCGACAGACCTTATGCGCCGTCTCTGGATCTTGGCCAGGGCAATGGACAGAAGATCAGTCCACAAGCCGAGGCGGCTGGGGGTGCTGACGTGGATGGGACGCAACTTGGTCGACCGCTTGGAGGAGAACAGCTTGGCATTCCCTGAAGCTGCAACGGTGCAAGCCGCAATGGTCACCGCCTGGTTCTTCATGTTGCGGGCCAAGGAGTACTGCAACAGTAACGGAGTTGATGAGGACATAGTCTTGCGGGGCATCGACGCCCGCTTCACGAAGGACGCTGAGGTCGTGGAGGGCAAGGATGCGAATGAACTCACCATGCAGTTCAGGAAAACGAAAACGGACCAGTTGGGGTTCGGAGAGAGCAAAACTCTGAAGGCCACTGGTGAGCACCACATCTGCCCTGTGGAAGCGCTGGTGAGGATGCAGCGGGCCTGGCCGACTAGGTTCATGAAGGAGCGCGGGGATAGCGTGCGACATTTGTTTCGGTGGGCCAATGGCGTGGTGTTGAAGCGGGTGGAGGTGCAGTCGCTGCTGCAGCAAGCTGCGAAAGGGGTTGGCCTTCCACCTGACAGATTCATGAGCCATAGTCTCTTGATTGGATGGGGATCGAGCTGGTCAAGCGGCAGGGCAGGTGGTCTAGCAGTGGGGAACTGGACAGGGAACTGGGGGCAGCAAACTGGGAGAGGGAACTGGGGTGCAGGGACTAGGGGCAACCAGCTATTGTCAGTGAAAATGGCACAGCTTGGGAACACCATTGCACACGCATCAAAGGATACAACCAACATGGTTGCGCACCGCCGCTGAAAAGAAGCGGTTTTTGCAGCAGAGCGAACACTTAAGTTGGAGGTTAGACTTGTGTAACTTAGACTTCAGTGTGGGCGACGCTTTAGAGTGTTTTAAAACCAGGGGACTCAACGAGGACCCACCCCTGCCACCCAGGGACGAAGGCCAGAGGCCACATGTGATGCACGCGCATCAAAGATACAACCAACATGAGTGTGCACCGCCGCTGAAAAGAAGAAGCGGTTTTTGCAGCAGAGCGAACACTTAAGTTTCTTTCTCTTGGCCTCTTTACGGCCCTCCCTGGATCTTTGACTCGGTGCGGGGCTATCGTGGCTTCGTTACCATGCAAAATGACATATCTTTTCTCTCACCTCTATACACTTGCATCTTCGCACGCTCACATCTGCAGATCTACCTCTCCACCTCCACACATCTGCGCATCTATATCGCACCTGCGCATCCACACTGTCACTCCTTCACATCCGCCCTCTCTTCCTCTCTTTCTACATCTTTTCTCTTCATATTTTAAGTCTAATTTCTTCGCAACTTCTGGTTCAATAACAGAACAGATTGTATAAAGAAGTCATGGCTCTTAGACAATCGATTTTAACCATTTCATGACTCGACAGTGCTGGACAATCACCTGTCTCGCTCTCGGGCCAACCGTCATCTAGCTGCTTTAACTCAACGTGTTTTTGCCTAAAAGGCGCAAGAACTGCGCCGGCGAGATCGGAACTTTGTGCCCATGTCTGTGGCCAGTGAACTTCTTGCGAAGCAGCTGCAGCTCACAGAGGCACAACAGGGAGACAACTTTGACAAAGCGAAGCGCAACATGGAAGAAGCAGGGAAACAAGAAGCAAGCAGAAGGTCCAAAATAGACAGAGTTGCAAAGCAAGCAAAGCACCTTTGTTCGTTGTGCATTTGTTGACTAAACCGGTTTTGCCAATTTCGATTTCATTCTGAATGCTGCTTCCAGCAGCCAGTCGGGATGACGTGCTACAGGAGAAGGCAGCCGAGTCCACACGGCATGCAGCCACTGCAAGGCAACCAAAAAGTTGCGTAACGAAGGAGTTGACGATGTTGACATCAGAGGCATACGAAGACTTCTTGCAAACGCTCCTCGCTTGAAAAGCCGCTCTTTCCCACGCGAACTTGACAAAATGGGTAGTTTAACAGTCGTGTTACAAATCTCCAACATTTGTTTTCGGCGCGAGGCTCTTTGCTTCACGCAGTTTGGCTGCTTGCCTCGCTGCAACTCTGGCGCCCAAAGTTGCCACATCCCTTCAACAAGCGCTTGATGCACTGCGTGTGCTGAGAGCCTCTGAGAGAGCGTGCTCCGCCTCTCTCAGACGGCTGAGCTTCGTTCTGCGGAACGCAGCTTTGTGTTGGTCTCAGGAACAGCTGAAACAGCGCAGAGACATGCTTTTCGGAAGCGTTTGTTCATGGCTGTTCCCTTAAAGCGCAAACTCGAGGTTTTCTAATGTTAAGTTTCCCTAAAAATCTAGAAACCACATGAATAGTGCGAGCGCTTCTTCAAGGGGAGTTTCCTTGAAGAAGCTTGAGCTATCTTGCGTCCAGTAGTTAGTAGCTACTTGTTAGCTACTAGCTGCCTAGCTACTAGCTACCTAGCTACTAGCTACTACCTCTAGTGGCCTCCCTCCTTAAAGAACAGATAAATACATATTTACATTTTTACAGTGAGAGAGGAGCGTGCTTAAAACAAAAATCAGCGACAGCGCCCAGGCGATCACTCCACCTCGGTCTGGTTGCCTTTGCGCGCACGGGAGCTTGCCCTTGCTGCCAGCGGCTTGCAGGGACACTCAACGCATCGCCGCTTCGTCGCTTCCGTGAGAGTTGCTCTTTGACGCATGCTTTTTGAGGCATTTCTTTGCAGAGCTGTTGAGAAGGGCCGAAGTGCTAGAGGAGCTGCAAAACAACAGGTGCCTATGTGGTTTGCGATCAAGAAGTGTATTTTTTGTCGACTGTTCAGGCGCTTTCCAGAACATTGTGGATGCTGAGAATGCGCAATGCGGTGGAGGCGCAGCACTTCGTGACGCGACTTGCGCCTTTGCAGTAGCTAGTAAAGCGTGCGCGTACTGCTGCGGGTGTGGTGGTGGTGGTCGTCGTCGTCCTCCTCCTCCTCCTCCTCGTCGTCTTTGTCGTGTTAGTCGTCGTAGTCGTAGTCGTAGTCGTATTGGTAGTGGTAGTGGTAGTGGTGGTCGTCGTGGTCGTGTGTCAGAGGTGAAATTCTTGGATTTGTTAAAGACGGACTACTGCGAAAGCGTTTGCCAAGGATGTTTTCATTGATCAAGAACGAAAGTTAGGGGATCGAAGACGATCAGATACCGTCCTAGTCTTAACCATAAACCGTGCCAACTAGAGATTGGAGGTCGTTACTTGCATGACTCTTTCAGCACTTTATGAGAAATCAAAGTCTTTGGGTTCCGGGGGGAGTATGGTCGCAAGGCTGAAACTTAAAGGAATTGACGGAAGGGCGCCGCCAGGAGTGGAGCCTGCGGCTTAATTTGACTCAGCAGGCGCCTGCCAAAAAGATCAAGCTTGAGGAGGGAACAGCAAATCTCTCAATTGGTGGGCCCGTCACTTCCCTTACACTCAGAAATGCTTGTATTTGCATTTGTCTTGTTCAAGTGCAAATGCAAATGGAATCCATGATTTCGAGATAGCTCGAAGTATATTTCTTTGTTTGCCAACTCCAACTGTTAGCTAGTATCGAATGTTTTTCCATCAGGGTTTGACCTGGAGATAAGGCAAAAGATCAGCTTGAACAACTGCTCGGAGTTGATCACATGTCGTGATGGCAGCTCTATTTACCTTGCTTCCAAAAGCAAAAATGACTTTCAGGCACACCGTGAGCTGGTTCTTGTCAGCACTAGCATTGAAAGAACGCACAATGGATTAACCAACAACATGCCTACTGGACCGAACATATTATGCCCAATTCTTGCCAAGGTTTAGCTTTGGCAGTGGAGAGTGGAGATCTGGCAGCGATGCTCAGCTCAAAGGTCTTAACCACCGCGACCAACAAGCAAAACATAAATACGATGTGAGCATGTTGTTGGTTATAGAAACATCTGAACTGACCTTCATCTTCCGCCAGGAAGCTACAGAATGTATGCAAGATATTGCTGGCCGGTGGTTTAAATTCTTGGCTGCAATGGACACCTTGGTGCTCCTGGAACGCAAGGACCTGCCCGAGCATTTGACTCAATGTCCTTCAGTGGACCGTCCGGTCATATTGAAGACGCTTCTTTTGGAGTTGGAAGACAATGGAGAGGTTTGACAACTGCCCAAATAAACAAAGTGTTGTTTTTGAGTTGTCATTCTTGTGAGAGTGAATTACTTTGTCCCTCCTTAGCAGGTGGCCGTGAAGATGAGCCATCATGTCTTCACTGGCGTGGGTGGACAACGAGTTCTACAAGCTGATAAGCCCTTATGCTTTCTTCTGGACGAGAAGAAGGACCCAAATGCTGAGGAGAAGAAAGGAAAGAAAAAGAAAAATGCCAAGGATCAAGCGCCTTCATTCAAGAACTTTGGTGCCCTACTGAACTTGGGGAAGCTAAAGGGTGCCCAAAGGTGGTCATTGGCTGGCGGATGAGGCCCTGTATTTATGTCGCATGTGCTTCCACACGTCTAACGTGCAACTGTGATTTGTGTTTACCTTTTTGAACTGTGAACTTGTGCCTTAACATCTTGAAGGCTTGACTCTTCAGACGGGAGCAAGACCTTGACACCAATCCGGCCCATCTGCTGCCTTCTCGCAGCCTTTCAGCTGAGCAGGCCAATGTGCACGTGATGTAGCCGGCTCGGGTGATGGCAGTTGCTTTCGTGGGTTTTGAGGGAGGATGAGGGTGATGTGGTGCCCAAACCACACAGAGTCCAACTGTATCTTCAAAGTGCAGCCTAGCCAAACAGAGACAAAACAATCAAATAGTATATGCATGCGTTTGTTAAACCAACCAGTATGTTTCCTGGGCTTGCGAGTGAGCGCCTCCCATTGGGATCGTGTGGAAGAGAGAGTGAAGGGACTCTCCTTTTTTTGACACGCGCATAGATGCTTGGATGTGTCAAGCAACCTCTTCAAGAGGACCACCACCTGGCTGACAAAACAGATTGTGGTGTGCATAGTCAAATGTGATCAGTATGTTGCGCACAAACCTGTGTGCGCAAACAGCATCTTGGCACCATCGCCGCAGAGTGGGTTCAGCATTTTTGGGGTTCCTAGTGCTGGGTCCGTTTTCACTGAAATGTCAGACAGTGATATCGAAGTTGTCATTCCAAAAGCTACTTTCAGAGCACCAGTACCTTGACTATGCTCCAACTTCTTCTTGCGTGGTATCATTGCTGGCAAGATCCTTAAAAGATGTCGTGTCAAACGCACCAGTCTTTTCGATGGTTTCTTGATAACCATTTCCCTGAGGCTTTCAACTTGGGCAGGGTGCTTGCCGATCAGCCCAGGGCCCGGGCACTTCCATCGCAGCCAAAGTCACGGCCACCTCCTGCGTCGATTGTGCCTGCAGCAAAGGCTTCAGGTGGAAGCAACTTGCCTAGGTTCGCTGTGTTGTTGTGTTGTCTAGGTGTCATAATAACTCACAGCATCAGAATGAAACATCTTAGGTGCTTCAGCTACACCTTCAGGGTCGGCCCACGCGCTTCCGCCCGGTCAGCAATTCTTCTGAGTCATCACCCAACGAAGAGAAAGTGAACCAAAACCAAAACCAACAGCAAAAGGGCGCAGCAAGACTCAAAAC